CCGCCACTCCTCTTCCGTCTCCTTCTCTTTTCCATCTGTTTCCTTGCCCTCCTCCTCCTCATCATCCAAACATGCGATCTAATCAGAAAAGTCCGATCCCCAGCGCTGCCTGCGGATCAGGGGAGGTTTTTCTTGGGGAAAGTATGATCCTTAGAACAAAAAAACTTTTTTTTTTGTTAATTTTTTTCCAACGGGTAAAAAAGTTACTAAAAACCCGCCATATCCCATCATGTCTTGTAATCGAGGGACCACATGAGGCAATACCGCAACTGGTTTTTTTTTTTTTTTTTCCTTTTTTCAATACCGCAATTGTGTTTTCTTTTTTCCTTCTTGCATTTTTTCAGTACTGCAGCTGTCCTTGTTAGAGGAAGGTCAACAGGTCAGCAGGTGTGTTCTAATCGTGAGAATAATACAGGAGATATGCGCAGTAATATAGGGAGGGGCCAGGCAGTGGGATCGCAACCCCCAGCGTAGATACGCATTCATGTATGTAACTATGGAACTACTGTCTTCGGCAAGGAAAAGTGTACCTAGTCTCACACCCCACCCAGGTGTGTACCTGATCTCATACCGCAGGGAGGGCTGTACCTGGTCTCACGCGATGTCTCGACGGCTGGGAAAATCCTTGTCCTTGGTATTCCTCCTAAACAACTGGAAAAATAGCATTGGAGGATGAAGGATGAGATGAGGTACACCACCTTCCTCCACCCAGCGTCGAATTTTTTTTTTTTTGAATGCGGCAATGACGAGGGTGCTTTGTGTTCGGGGGAAAGACGGCAGGGTTAGGATAACGCAGCAAGAGTTTTTGGCATTGTCATGGAGCTGTACATTCTTCCGACAAGGAAGTAATCAATGTCGTTGTTTCAAGATCTTGCGACTGTGATGGGGAGAGCCATTTGATTGAGTTCCATGGATGTGAGGAATGCGGGACCTGATTTCCAACTCTATAATAAAAGGTACCCTTTTTTTTCCCTTTGTTTTTTAACTACTGCTCAATGCTGTGACTTAACCGATAACCGAGGCTCTCACTCGCTGGGTTAATTCGTGGGTTAGGGCTGTAACTCACTGGGAAGGGCTGCACCTCACCGGGTTAACTCATTGGGTAGGGTTGTAATTCACCAGTTAACTCACCGGGTTAACTCACTGAATAAGGCTGTAACTCACCGGGTTAACTCATTGGGTAGGGTTGTAACTCACCGGGTTAACTCACTGATTAAGGTTGTAGCTCACTGGGTCTGCACAATCATTCATCCTCTCTGAGTGGGTGCTGGTTGTTGCTGAGTATCGAGATTCTGTTCAACTCAAGTCTCTCTGGCAATATGGACTGTGCTGAAGTTTTTTGCGGATTGTTTTTAATTTTTTAATTTTTTTTACATTGTTCTCTCAGGAGGAACATTGTTCTGGATGGAGAAAATGATGAACTGGTAAAGTAAATATAACTATCCCAAGAAATCAAGTACACCTCGACTATTTCGTTTTCTAGTGTTTTGTGTTGTGTGTGTTGTCATAGTCGCTATACACTCAAAGAAAGCATGATTGTGGCACACTGTTTCATTGGACTTTCAACGGCTCATCAGGAGGCCGTGTATTGTGTATGTGTGTGAGAGAGAGGTGCATGTAGCGGGAAGTTTATTTTTATTTTGCACATTTCGAGTGTGATTTTGACGATGCTCTTCATTCCGTTTTTTTTTTTTTTTATTCCCGATCCAGCCCAATTTCTTTTTATCGTTTCTCTTTCTTTTCTATTTTGTTGTTAGTAATCTGCGTGCATGTGTGTGTATATCTTTCTCTCTCTCTCTCTCTCTATATATATATATATATCTATCTCAAACACACAGACAAAGGGTTTTTTTAAGGACAACTCCCGAGAGCTGGACCCACTTTCCAGCTGGTGCTGCTCCCCACCAATACATGGATCCTTTCTGAGAGCGCTAGTGATGCATGCGCTTATCAGCACCCCTAGCAGCTGCTCGGGTTGTTCTTTGAAAAAAAGAAAAAAGAATACCACAATAATTCTATATTACTTTTTTTAAGGAGCAGGGTATTTTAGTAAGTTCAGGTCAAAAGACTAGCAAGTTTGGTGATTGGTTAGGGAACAATTAACTTATGTCATTAGTTATGTGGCTCTTAAGTGACAAAAAAATAAATAAATTAAATAAATATATGGACGGATATCAGTTGTCGTAGCTCATTTGATACACCGCTGAACTGTGGAAATACAGCCCTGAGTTCGAACTCCGCTCGAAGTAGATGAAGCAGATGAGTAAAATACTGCAAATTTGAATCATTTAGGGCGCAGTAAAGTTCAAGTGTTGATATCTCAAAACCATCCCCCCCCCCCCCCCCCCCCCCCCCAAAAAAAAAAAAAAAAAAAAAAAAAAAAAAAGGTTGGACATTCATGGATTCATGTGCATCTGTTGATAACTTGTTTTTCCTTTGCTGTCTTAGCAAATTATTTGCACAGTTCACCCAGACGAAAATGAAGTACAGGTAAAAAAAACATACGACTACAGTTTCATGCTTTAATCACATTGTGGCGTGCGGATTCATCGAACTCATATGATGGAAGGTTGAAACTCATCATGTCTGTCCATCTGTGGATCAGTAGAAGTGTGTTGTGAAATCGGAGAAAGTCGTATGGCATACTCATTCTAGGACTGTCCTGTGTGAATCTGATCGCAACCCAACGAACGAACTACATACACACTCATACCAACCAGCACTCAGACAGTCACAGTCACACACGCAAGCCAACCAGCACTCAGACACACACACACACACACGCACACACACACACACACACCTTGTCAGTTTTTTGCTGGGCTTGTTCCGATCAGCAGTGGTCTGTGTGTCAAAGTCGGTTCACTACTGGGGGTCAAGCATTGTGCCTTACGGTTTTGTGTGTACAAATGCAACGCACTAGCCAACCGTCCCCAGTGGTGTCTTCACGTCCCCGATGGTGCGTAGATGCCGACTGTTTGGCAGCTGTTCGCTGGGCTTGTTCCGATCAGCAGTGATCTATATGTTAAAGTCGGTTCACTAGTGGGGGCCAACCCGGCCAAGTGTTGTGCCTTACAGTTTTGTATGTGTACAAATGATACCCACTAGTGAACCGTCCCCAATGGTGTCTTCACGTCCCCGATGGTGCGTTGATGCCGACTGTTTGTCAGTTGTTCAGTCGGCTTGTTCCGATTAGGAGTGGTCTATGTGTTAAAGTCGGTTGACTAGTGGGGGCCAAGTGTTGTGCCTTATGGTTTTGTGTGTGTACAAATGAGACGTACTAGCCAACCGTCCCCAATGGTGTCTTCACGCCGCCGATGGTGAGTAGATGCCGACTGTTTGACAGTTGTTCGCTGGGCTTGTTCCAATCAGCAGTGATCCAAGTGTTAAAGTCGGTTCACTAGTGGGGGCCAAGTGTTGTGCCTTACCGTTTTGTGTGTGTACAAATGACACGCACTAGCCAACCGTCCCTAGTGGTGTCGTGTTGTACCCCATGGTGCGTTGACGCCGACTGTTTGTCAGTTGTTAGCAGTGGTCTATGTGTTAAAGTCGGTTCACTAGTGGGGGCCAAGTGTTGTGCCTTACGGTTTTGTGTATGTACAAATGACACGCATTAGCCAACCGTCCCCAATGGTGTCTTCACGTCCCCGATGGTGTGTTGATGCCGACTGTTTGTCAGCAGTTCGCTCGGCTTGTTCCGATCAGGAGTGGTCTATATGTTAAAGTCGGTTCACTAGTGGAGGCCAAGTGTTCTCCCTTACGGTTTTGTGTGTGTACAAATGACACGCACTAGCCAACCGTCCCCAATGGTGTCTTCACGTCCCCGATGGTGTGTTCACCTTCACGTCATCCGCTGTTTATTTCCAGCTACCGATTCGCCACACAACATCATGTTACATCCCCGGAATTCAGTATGGTACTGAGGGTCATTTCATCTCTCTCTCTCTCTCTCTCTCTCTCTCTCTCTCTCTCTCTCTCTCTCTCTCTCTCTCCCCACCAACAGTTTTCGCAACAATGATTTCTCACAAAACATGTCATGTCTCGTGGACTAGATGGATGGATTAAATGCTTCAACCGCGGCGGTCGGAGAGACCATCGGCATTGGAACAAAAGACATGGTGGAAGCCATGGCGGGAGCTGATGTGACACTGGCGCAACAGACACGCACGAATGCACAAGAAGGGGGGATGGAGACGGAGTGTGGCGTAGGGGCGACACTGGATGTTGGGACAGAGGAGATGGTGATGGGAGATGATGATGAACTTGGGAGAGGCTGCAACAGCCACAGCACAACCGTGCCTGGTAAAGAAGTGGCGAACAAGCAAGATGTCGGGACATCGCACTCCCGTATGTTATGCATTGTGCCTAACGATAATGTTCGAAGGACGAATGTCGGGGAATGTTTTTAGTATGCTATCAATTAGGAACCTGGCTGTATACAACCTGGCATCATTGGAGGTGAGCACTGCTTAGCCTTCAAATGTGGAGGAAGTTGGATTCCTTATCAACCACCCACGGAGCTGACATGATGCAATGTCACTGCGGCCATAGTTTTGGACAGGTTGATCAGGCTCAATGACAGTGCATCCCTGTCAGATGTCTCATATCATTCTCTCAACATGTGGAATGAACTTTGGGAGGCGGGTGATTTACGGCTCAATGATTTCTTGTATGATGGTGTGGTTTGTCGTGAGTCATGGGTGATGAAAGAGGACACAGGAAAAATGAATGTTGTATCTGATGTCAACAATTCTAGAAGGGATGTGCAATGGGGGTGGGTGCCGTCACAAATTCCTTTTCGTTATGGTCATTGTAAGATTTTTGTGCGTGATCTCATGGGAACTTGTTGGAAGACTACGTACATCAATGACGAGTTCAGATGTCGAGTTTTTGACAGAGAGGTGTCTGCACAGGAGAGGGATGCCATGACACATGATGGTCATAAAGCTGGTGACTTTTGTCCACCACTTGCCCACCCTGTGCGCATGGAGTTGTCGGAGGACAAAGTTTTCAGAGGGGCTGAGAGCGTGAGGTACGAGTTGTCTATGGGAACACAAGCTACATACTGTCGACAATGCTATAACATATGGGACCCAATGGTGACAATGCAGGTGTTGCGGCCAGAATATGACATCTCAGACAGTGTCATCGATTTGAGCAAACTGCATGAACACGTGTCGTCTCACATATACGGGTACAATGTTAAGTGGATTCTAGGCCTCTTGCGTCCAGCCATAGTAGATGGCAAAACGACCATGGCGGCAAGGTTGAACTGTGGTCACTGATTTCCCATTGGTTGGATGCATGCAGGACTGTTGGAACATTGGCAATTCCTGGTTGTCCTTGCACGTGTTTCCATTTGCAACACACGGGTGAAGGACAAGACAACATTAGTGGGACACGCAACGGCATGTTGGGCGAAAATAAGGTCGGAGGACCGTCATGTGGTGATGGTGGGATATGACACTTATCCAAACAAGGAGATGTGGTCTATCACGGGTTTCATGGACGCAGGGGATGCTAGAACGGACACGCCAAACAACTGTCTGGACGCAATTCGTCGCAGACACGGGAGTGCATCTCTTTTCGGGTGGCTGCCAGTTGTATGTCCCATGACATACGACTGTGGCGCAGATATCAACATGATAATGAGAAACCCTCTTGGCGTTTCATTTCATGTCACATACACAGATGGACTGTTGCGTTACATCCAGTACATGCCTGAGGAGGACTCGCAAACAATGTGCAATGATTGGAAACGAAGAAGTGGGCACAATAAGGGGACACACTCTTCATCAGAGGCGGAGAGCCCAGATGGGGACAAAGATGTCGAGAGGCTCGATAAAGAAAACTTGAATGACGCAGGTTGTGGTGATGTGGAACAGAGAATGGGGGATGCAAAACCATCTGCGAGGTTACAACAGGGAATGGGGGGTGCAGAACCGTCTGCGAGGTTAGAACAGGGAATGGGGGGTATAGAACCATCTGCGAGGTTAGAACAGGGAATGGGGGGTGTAGAACCATTTGCGAGGTTAGAACAGGGAATGGGGGGTGTAGAACCATCTGCGAGGTTAAAAGAAAGAATGGGGGGTGCGAAACCATCTGCAAGGTCAGACGACATGATGAGGGAGAAGAAGAAGCAGCAGAAGTGTGGCGTGTCGAAAAGCAAGGGCAAAACACCAGCTGTGGGGGATACAACGGTCCCAACCAAGCAAAAAGTCGGGGTTGCAAAGCGGCGACGACGTCCTTGGCAGGCTACATTAGCAGAAATTCGCCACTTGCAACACACTGTTCATCTTTGCTAGCCTTTCACACCATTCTTGAGGCGTGTACGAAAGATTGTTAACAAAGATGTGGCACCTGGACGTGGGATCAGGTTCGAGTTGGTTGAAATGCGTGCAGTCCTGGAGGCTGCTGAAGCATACCTCGTGCATCTCATGGAGAATACAAATGAGCTCGCGATCTACGAGAAGAGGATGACAATAAACGTGAAGGACATGAGCCTCGCTGATGCGCTGTGGAAACCACAGTGGACCGTGTTTTTGAAAGGCGTCCAGGATGAGAGAAGGGCAGAAGAAAAGGGGGCGAGGAGGAGGGAGGAAAGGGCAGCGGGTCGCACATCGGATAAAACGGGCACATCAAAGAGGAAAGGTGTGCCCCACAAAGGAAATGCGAGCAAAAAAACGTGATATGAAAAACGAGACTGTCATCACTATACTTATCATGTGCTCCCAATAGACAATGGTATGTAAACCTCTCTCTCCGAGTCTCTCGACCTTGGCGTCTGTGTGTGTGTGTGTGTGTGTGTGTGTGTGTGTGTGAATATAAAAAGGTGTGTGTTGCGAAAATATGAAAATGATGGACATTCCGTGGTGCCTAAAACACGTGTCTTTGAAATGATGTTTGTCGTATAGCTTGATAATGACTCCCAGGCCGAAGTACGGGGATTTAAGCAGATCCGTCAAGCGTCATGAGAAAAAATCAGGCGTGAGAAACTCATCAAAGTCCGACTCAAAGATAGCAAAGCGGAGACACAGACGAAGCGGGAACGAGAAATCAAATAGACGATTGGAGAATGAGATCTGCAGGGAGCGTGCATTGGTTACCGTACCTACAACAAAGACGGACAGAGAGAGATCGAAAGGACAGGAGGATTCACCTCTTGTGACGCCAAAGTCGAAAAAGGGTCATGCAAGGCGCGAGAGCAAGTCACCCAAAGCGCCAAAGAAAAAGTCTTTCACAGATCAAGGACTTGCATGTGTTCGCGACAAAGGAAACACAACAAAAGAAGAAGCGAAGAGTAAATAAAGTTCACAAAGACATCGAAATAATTGATTTGAGGGGGCCGGATGTTGTTGAAAGCAGCACACGAGCGGAAGACAACATGTCGCAGCGGTCCATGGAGGACGCCTCTCGTTCTGAAAGCGAGGAAAATGCGAGAACAGACGACGAGGGCGGTGACAGTGAATCAGAGACCACAGGGGATTCAAAAGAAGAAGAGGGGAGTGACGCACAACAAGAAAGCGACAGTGTAAGCAGTGACGTGAACAATAATGAAGAAGAGGAAACTTTATACTACAGCAATGACCAGGACAACCAGAAATCACGGAGTAATTTGAAGAGAAAATGTAAAAGTGAAAGAACACTTGGACGAGGGCAAGGAGAAAAAGTTGAGACGAACAAGCAGTTGGTGCGCAAGGAGTCGTCGTTGCAACAACGTAAGTGCATTATTTAAAACAGTAGTTCACAACCTCAGACCTCGTATATGTCGTCCTTTTAATGATGCACAAAGAGAGTTAAGAAATATTACAAAACTATTAACAAAATCGTGTGTTGTCTGGGCATGTACGTTGTTTGCTGTCTTTTTACGTCTGTCCGTTGTCTCTAGGAGGCGACATTGTCGAGGAACCGTCAAACATACAAAGAAAGAGAGGACACCACGAGCAAACAAGCGACATAGGCAATCTACATTTTCCTAAGAAAGCAAAGGATAGATTATTTCGTTCAATCGTAAAGGCGTATGCATTCACTGCGGCGAAGGATGCAACAATGTACCCCTCGGAAGACGACTTCTTCGAATCTCTGCAATCAGCAACAATTGTCAGCAAACATGTTAGGGAGAAATGTGAAGGAGGGACTCAGTATGTATGCGAATAGTATAGGAGTGCGGTCAGTGCTGGTGGAATGTAACAAAGTCATTACAACGGTGAGAGGAGAGATAACATGGCAGTTGATACACTGGTTTTGGGCAGAGAAAGGGCTACCACTCTTGCGATGTGCAGAAATGAACCACCAACAGGAAGCGCGCAAGAACTTGCGAGCAGAGATGCAGACAAACAAGTCATGGAGACAACTGGGCAATGATCCGTGGGGTGCAAAACCATTAAAGACAGCGATAGAGAAAGTTTTTCAGATGCGAAGGGATGATGGAGGGGTCGGGGTGACCTTGCAACAACTGGCATTTGCAGAACTTGCTGTGCGGTATGAAATTGAACAGACTAAGAAGACACACAAAGCATCAGAGCAGATTCATAAATTAGCATCAATTAAGCAGGATATTGTGGCGTCAGTGCGTAATCGCACCACCGTAATGAGTTTTTCAATATTCAAGCTTGATCGCACAACATCGGTTGCAGAAAAGATTGTGGCATTCTTCCACGCAGGAACACCCAGCAGGCAAAGCAATGCGGCTCGTGTCACAATTATCACTAAAGATGATTACGAGTTTGAAGTTATTGCGAAACCACGTGGCATCGAATCAGGGAGAGAACGAGAGACAGAAACTTCAATTGCAAGAGTATAATACTGAGTTCGTGACGGCATGTGCGATGCAGCAGTGCACTGTACTTGAACTAGGGGCGGTCGAACTTTTAATACGCGATGTATTTATGTGACATCTATCAGGAGACCAACATTGCAGATGTGGCATGTATCATGAGACTTTACAAATGCGGAGAGAGAGAGAGAGAGAGACAGAGACAGCGAGAGAGAGAGATGATTCAAAGTTTTGCTTGCGAGTTTCGATGAATGTTTTGTGTGTATTTATCATGAGACTAATTCTGACAATGACGACCGTCCGCCATGTTCATATTGTATTTATCAGAGTCATCTTGTGGTTTGTGCGGAATTATATGATCGTCAATCGTTTTGATGTTGTATATAGATGTTAATAATAACATTCCTCCACACTCTTCTAGTCGTTTCTTCTAGTGGTTGTATGCAAGTGTTCTTGACAACTACCTTTCAAGGGTGATGGACAAAGAATGTGGTTAATAGTGGTCTTTTTCAATCTTAGCTTATTGTGTCGATACCAGTTTGGCTGTCAGTTTTTTTTTTTTTTTTTTTATATAAAATTATGTCGGTGCTGGGATGATTGACAAAATGGATGTATGACAAGAGTCAATTTCTTCTACTGGGATGCATGACAAAATGGATGTATGACAAGAGTCAATTTCAGGTACTGGAGAGAAGAACAGAAAAAATGGGTCGTAGTGGTGATCCAATGACGTGAGTCAATTCCTGGTACTGGGATGCATAACAAAATGCACATATCTCTTTGTTTGTTGCGGAATAATATGATCGTCCGCCATTTTCATGTTGTAGCTATATGTTAATAATAAAAGTCATCCACCCTCTTTTACTTGTAGCTTCCAGCGGTTGTATGCAAGTGTTCTTGACAACTACCTTTTCACGGTTGATGGACAAAGAATGTGGTCAATAGTGGTCCTACCCAATCTTAGCTTATTGTGTCGATATAGGTTTGACTGTCAATTTCCTTTGTTTATTTTATTAAACTAAGTAGTAAAGACAAAATCACCATAGATCTCGTGCCACATGCATCATAAGTGCAGAAAATGTATATGAAGTGGTTCACTAGTGTGAGCCACGACAAACGCACGACGGTGAGAAGAAAAGAAAAATGGCCCCTGGTAGTGAACCAATAAAGATACTATATTTCAGGTAGTGGAAGAGAGGACAAAATGCACATATCCAGACTGCAATATCTTCATACATTTCAGTATCTTCGTAAAATGGAAGAGGAATACGAGTACGGACAGTAACTAGGCAACATCAATAATGATCGCAATTCACCACAATGCGTTGTGAGACCGTTTTTGGGGAATCGCGGGGGTGCACCTCCCATCACGACTTCAACATGTCGTCCAATGTTCAACAGTTGATCAACAAAATTTCAACATGCTACCAACATTGGGTTCAACACTAACACACACGCTGCCAACATTGGGTTCAACACAGGCCCGCATACCATCTCATGTGTTACATAAGCAAGAATTATTTTTTTCCTTCACTTCCTGTGTACCACATGACATGTCCCGAGGCGAACAGAAAATATACACACAATCAACATTCGGTTGCATGCATAGACCTACGCTAAACTTTCGATGAAAAATCACACATTTTTTCTGTTGGCGTGACGCGGTCTGGAGGGTCCCCCTGCGAGACCGATGCGCTCGACAACGTCTCCTCAACTTCTCAGACAAATAAAGGGGTCCGAAAGCCTTTTTTTCTTTCTCTGATCTGTAAATTTTATGTGAACCTGGTTAAACCTACAAAACAGCAAGTTTCACAAACCACCAAACATAATCCCAACATGCAAATTCCCTAACAAGCAATAGTAAAGCAGCAAATAAATAAATAAAATAAAATAAACCCCATAATAATACAGTAAATAATATAAATAGTACTAACAATTCTTCACACCCAGAAGTCATCGATTGCCTTGGTTTCGACCCACCACTGGCCAGGAGTGACAGACCTGATGTCAGCCTGACATCCCTCATTCAGCCCGCCTCAGGCCAGGACTAATCAGACCATTTGTCTTGATAGCCCCTGTAACCTGCCTCCAGGTCAGGACCACCATACCTACTGCTCGAGTATGATGACGCTTTGGCGTGCCTCATGCCAGGACACCCAGACTATAGCGGGTCTGGTCACCCTATGACAACAGACCTCCCATCAGTCCACTGTCCTATACCCGGATCTGACCACTGCGGTCAGGGATCGACTCACCCACCAGTTTTTGGCCTAGGGCATTGTCTGCCCTGCCCAAATTTTGAACGTAGGACCCGGTCTAACTATGATTCGGGCTCTAGCGAACCTACTAGATTGCAACCTTTGACTGAGGTAGGATTCCAACTGACCCTTTTTGACCTTACAGGCCAGACTCCCGGAGTCTTAGCCTCAACCAACTACGGAATTCAACACTCGAGTCGGGGACCTGCTAACCCCACCAAATTGCAACTTATTGCGGGAAGGCTCTTGCTAGGCCCGGCAATGAACGACACCTTAGGTTAGAGAAGAAAAACCCAAGCATAGACAGTCAAACAAGCATGTCAAAACCCA